TGCTGAGCCCCATAAAAAGCCACAAACCTTTTAAAGCCTTACTTTTTATCTGAATATAACCGTTCTTGGACATTTTTTATATTCCGGCTGTGTTGGGTGTGCCTCTGTACCAAGTTGTTAACCAAATTTGTCGATGTTTTTCTTATGTGAAATTGGTTTGGTGGGGTTGGTTTCCCCTTGGTCATACTTTATTACTAATTTAATCGTGTGCATTACAAATTATGAGTGCTGAGACTTTTTATTGAGGCAAATTTCATTGTTCTCAACCTTGTTTTACATCAGGAAGAACAACATGTTTAAGAGTGATCAACATGTCTCAGACTGCAGGGTCAGGAAAGCAGGAAAGCAATTATTGAGGGCACGCAAACCCTTTCACACTATAAAAAGTAGTGATGTTAGCAAGGTGCTGAATTTGTTCCCATCCATCTACCTTGTTTGGCTTGCCAGACATATTGTACATGTTTTGATTTTCATCACTTTATCATTGCCTTATCTCCTTGTTTCTCATTCTGTCTCCTTTATCTTACACTGGGGCCCGCACCATCTTTTTCTATCCCTAGACACCCTCTCTTTAGCCATCTCTCTTTGACCCTTTTTCTTTTTTCTCTCACTCTGGCGTCTCAGACTAGCGCATGTCGTGACTGTCTTCATCTCCAGCATACTTGAGGGATTAAGGAGGGATGAAATTCACTCATTCGTGGGCGGAATGAAAAAAAAAAAGAAGGGCCCCGTACAGTACAGCACTTTATCTATGGTGCCGTGAGATCTTTAATGAAACCTGAGGTCGCTCTGAGCGCCAATGTTTAATCTCCTTCTGACCCACCTCTGGGCCCAGAAAACACTGAATAAGGCATCTATTTCGAATATCTTCATCTGAAACCTCCGTTTCCCCCCCCAATTTACGGCTACATTATTAAAAACAGTCCACCCAAGCATATCACTGATATGAGCTTATTTATATTTTCAAAGCAAAACAACAAAACATAAGGTGTAGGTTAAGCACTGAATTGGACCAGCTGTTAACTTGCAGGTAGTAGCTGCATCAGTAGCCCTGCTATCAGTGCTTTTGATTTGTATATTTGTAATTTTTTCCAGTTTTATCTCTCACTCTATGACCCCCTGTTTCTGTTATGGGACTTTATCATCCTGAAGAACTGTTCATGCAAGACAGTGTTTCCTTAAAACCCCTGATAATATCAATGACTGCTGCACTTTTTAGTTGGTGTTATCTGTTAAGGAGCTGTATCGTAAATGACAGGCAGAGGAACAGTGGCACTTTGCATGAAAAGGATCTGATTACTGTCTGCCTTTGTAGTTCCTTCACCAAGTGAATACATGCTTTTATCTCTGTGCATACCTGCACAGTAGCAAATGCGTCAACCTGGATAAATGTGTGTGTGTGTGTGTGTGTGTGTGTGTGTATGTATGTGTGTATGTGTGTGTGTGTGTGTGTACACTGTAGATTTTGTGTGCAATCTGCATTTGTGTGTATGTATGCATCCATTTGAATCACCCAATTATGAGTATTAGAGCTTTGAGAGGGTCACTTTGATCTTTATATGTTATAAGTGACTCATTGAACTCACTGAAGTATTCTTATCTTCGCTGAAGCTGCATAAGTCCACAGAACAGGTGAAAAGATATTTCTAATAGGATGAATGACATATTCCTGTTTTATTAAGTAACATCCACTGTGCAGATGCATAAATGTCCTTAAACCACCCTATTTCTGATCAGTTTATTGAAAACAACTGAGCTTTTCTTTGCACCTGCACATAAGCTTTTTTGAGTCTCCAATGAAGTATTTCCATTCTATTCAACCTCGCAGGGATGCACACTTTTATGTACCAATCTCCAAACAAGGGCAAGAATGCTGTGCGCTTACAGTCATCCTATTATCCAATTAATGCACCCCATTTTTGGGTATATCGCCAGCAATGCTCTTTTCCACCTCAGTTCACTCCACTTTCCGATTCAGACTACATTCCCATTCTCCTCCCATCATGCCCTGTTTCTAAACTTATATTTAAGACAGTCCAACAGGGATTATCAAAACAGCCTTCAACCAAAATGTCTTTCTTCATTGTTTCTAGTATCAACTTGCAACTGTTGTGCAGCTGCTCGGCTTAGGAAGTTGAAATGAATTATGTTGTATGATATGGCAGTTAAAAAAAAAAGCAGAAGGCAGAGAGGAAAGATACAAGATACTGCTTACACATGTAAGATGTGTTCCCAATTCATACTACAAATGAATACTACACAGTATGTTATCTCAAGTACCAATGTCAAGCATGGAAACTGAAGAAAGAGAAAGCAAAAAATACATTAGTGTTCTTTAATATACAATCAGACTTTGACTCAACACTCAAGGAGAAACGTCAAAAACAAAGTTGATGCAAACTAAGTTCAGTACAAAGTGCACAGAAATCTACGTCTGATTTTCCACCAGAAACAATCTTTCTTTATCTCCTTTACCAGTCCACTTTCTAATATTTTCTTTTGTGCAAAAAGAGATGATAAAGACACTGCGTCTGATTGTCAAGGCCCTCTAACTGTCTCTGTCTTTTGCTCCCAGGACTTCATCCAAACTTCATCCAGTACATTCACTATTTTTACAACTCTACACCTCCCATTGTAAAAACCAGGCTGGCTATTGTGAGCTGCTGACAGAGCTGGCTTCCCAGCTCTGCCCCTGGCGCATGCACATGCACTGGCACAGACACACACACACACACACACACACACACACACACACACACACACACACACACACACACACACACACACACACACAAACACACACACACAAACAAGCAAATAGAAATAATTTTTTCTCACATCCATAACTTTCTACATATACTCTATAGAAATAAACTCAGGTCATCAGTTTCATTTCAAACACTTTCATTTCTCTCTTTCTTTCCCACACACACATGCACACGCACACACACATACACGCAGCTTCATAGCAGTGGGTAGATAATGAGTGGTTGTTGACAAGGAGTGTGTGTTGCTAGGTATTGTACCTGTACCTGCTAATTAACACATACAGACTGTCTGTATGATTTAATTATTTGTGTAACTACCACACACACACACACACACACATACACCCACACTTGAAGAAAATACACGCATATTGTACACACAGAACACCTGTATTGAAAATACTGCATTGTTTCCATAGTGATGATGTAAATACACTCTAAATAAGAGGGAATGCAACAGTAGGTGTCCCTGGAGTGTGCATAGAGATGTGTTTGTTTGTTTCTAGACAGTACATGCATTCTCTGATGCATGCAGTTGTGCAGATATGATACATGCCAATGCAGTCTTTTACTTTATTTCCATATTTCACATTATACACCAGATACCATGGTTCATACTGTATTATTTGGTGCATTTACTCCCCCTAATCTTAATAAAAGTTCAATTATCGGAATGGATTAAAAGGAAACTATGGCTGTAATCCATGCTACCATTACCACATGTTTAAGTCCTGGTGGATAATAGTATTTAGGCAGTTTGCCTGTGGATCTTCCTTTACATGATGTTATTGGCTAAGAGGCAGAGATTATTTGAAATATGAACGGTGTTTTCATTCGATCACATGTTGACATGTTAGTCTGTCATATAAATAGCTTCATTAAAATAAAAATAGATAGGTTTTCAAAAACATCAAAAACACAGAGACTGGGTGTGCAAGGATGAATGTGCATGCATGTGTGTCTTTTCAAATGTCTTGCTTGGTATCAGACCGCCAGGAGAGGGGACTGGCAAGAGTGTTTGTTCTGCTTCTTAAAACAAACTCTCGAAGCAGATGAATGATATCAGGTGGTGCGATTAACAGAGACAAGGCTGAATGAAAACCTATGAGGTAGTCTTTTGCTCCCTCTCACTCTTTTCCTCTCCGTCTTTCTGTCATGCATACCCTTCTGACTCCTATTTCATGGTAAAACTCGAAGTTATGGATCACATCTGCTGAGATTCAGTGACTAAAAGAGCCAAGAGAGAGATGGAGTAAATGAAAGGGAATTGAATGTACATAAAGTTAACAGCATAGAGGGGATGAGTGGGGGACAGCTAGGCAAGGAGGGGAGGTTAAAGAGTGGAAATAAAGTCATCTCATAACACCACTTTGCTGTTATGCCACTTAAGTGGCCACAGACGCTGGCAGTGCTTCTAAGTGGCAGAGCTAAGCCCCTCTTTCCCATTAAGAGTTAGAATAAACTATTTATTTTTATTATATACACTCATCTGTCAAAGCTATTGAGGAGGTCCAGGGTCTGTATTCATCAAATACATGATGTATGTATATACATTTTAATGCCTTAAATATTTGAACTACATGAGGCATGCTTGATTTAGTTTGCCACATATTTAAACATTAATTTTTTGTTCTTTTTAGTAATATAATATGTACATTTTTCATTTAGATGGATTTAATCTGGGATTTTTTCTTGTAGCGCTGATTTGAGGGATATGTGTGGTTTAAGTGGTGAAGTTCTTAACTGCTCCAAAATCTCTAGAGAAGCTGTATCATCAGGAATCCAAGAGAGTCTGCCTTCTGGTTTACCAAAATCAACTCAGCATTAAGATCAACTGTAAACTGCCTGTCTCTTAAGGGACTTCCAACTGTTTCATTTCCAACTCTGTGAAGACCACACAGTTCTCCCAAGTGCAATCCAATAGCAAAATACAGACTTGTGAATCTGACGTCAGACCTAAGATGCCTCTGGGAAACTCTTTGCTCTGTTGTCTCCCACGTGCCTATTCAAGAAGCACATTGTCGCCACAGCCGAGAAGTGGTGGGAAGTTGGCAGCCTTTGCAGCCGCCGAAAAAAGCTTGCATTTGGTTTGTGGCTGCTGATGAGTGCAGCCACATTGTTTACTGTGTGATTAAGTTAACAGGTGTTGCTCACCAAAAAGAAAAGTGGGAACTTTCTATTGTTATCATGTTACTGAGAGAATTGTCTTAACTGACATTGTAACTTTTCTAGGGCGGTGGGCAGTCCTCTGGTTATGGACCCCAACAGCATATGCAGGAAGGCAAAGCGTCTGGCGGGGAAGCAGGCTGAGCTGTGCCAGACTCAGCCAGAGATTGTCAGTGAGGTGGCCAAAGGAGCCAGACTGGGAGTCAGGGAGTGCCAGTACCAGTTCAGGTACCGTCGGTGGAACTGTACTAGCCACAACAAGTACTTTGGCAAAATACTGCAGCAAGGTGAGTCCGGGAGGAATGGATGTGTTTTGCTTGACAGTAACTTTGTGTCTTTCTTTTTCCTGCATTTTACCCCTATTATCTATAGCTTCACATTTTGGGAATAACACCATTCTCTTCTCACTGAGAGTTATGTGAAGATCAATACCACTCCTATATCTGTCCATTCCTAATGAAGATACAACCAGCAGCAGCTTAGCAAAGGGAAAAAAGGAAACAAGGGGGAACAGGGGAAGCCTGGCTCTGTCCAACGTAACACGATTTTCCTACAAGCACCTCTAAAGCTCCCTAACCCTAATTTGTGTTTGTTTAATCCATACAAAAAAGGTAAAAATGTTGATTTGTGGTTTTAAGTGTGAGATGCATAAGGCACAGTGACTCTCTGGGGTCACTGTGACTTTAGAACTGCTTGAGGGCAGATTTTGTTACCCTTGGACAGATCCAGGCTAGCTGTTTGGCCCTGTTTTCAGTCTTTGCTGAGCTAAGCTTACTGTTGTAGCCTTATATTGAATGGAAGAAATGTATCAGTCTTCTGAATTAGCTCTTGCCGCAAAACCTAATTGTTCCCAAAATATTATATTACTTCAACACAAACAATGTCTAATCTTTTATACAGGTATAAACGGACTAACAGGTCATACCAGTAGTTTAGATTTGCTCAAGCACTTTGTTAAAGTTCATTTGAAAACGAAAACACTTGCATATGACTCAGTTCTATGGGTTTTTCTTTTATCCTTGACCTAGATGTACATAGCTGATGGAGGAGATATAAATTCCCATAATCATCTTTGTGGCTCTCTCAATCAGTCTTTCCAAAAGCATTTCACATGGTTTGAAAAAAAACACATTAAAAATACTGTCATGTCCCATTTTTCCGCTGTGAGTACCTTAGGATCTGAACCCATGACCTCATGACCGCAGCTGACGGCCTTACATCAACTTGAGGTCAGATCCCTGTCTGATGGCACTCCAACAGACAAGGGCAGCTGTTGTATTTCAGACCAGACGTATTCACACTTGACTGACTCTCCTCTTCATCAGATTGGGCATGCTTGAAATGATCAGCTAAAATTGCTCTTTTCTCTTAACATCTCTCTTAAGATCTCTTAACATCTTCCTCCAGCTCTTTGAAGTTTGTAATATAACTGATGTTGGGTCACCGCTGGGTCTTCTCCAATTACTGTGTTGGTTTTTCTCTTGTATGATTACATTCATAGAGAGCTGCCTGTCTCTTCTTTGCCTGGCACTACAGAGAGCCTTTATCTCTCTGTTTAGTCAACAAACAGGGAATCATCGATATTGATATACAATATACAACAAAATATGTGTCAAGCATGTTATTAAACCCATTTTGTGGTTGTGGATATGTTTACTGATGTTTTATGCTCACCTGTTAATCACATACATTTTCCATGTATAATTCTACACAGTATAATAGTATAGTAGTAATATAATAGTCAATAATAATGAACGAATCTACGTCAAAGCTGCATAACACTCTGGAAAACTAGATTACTTCTTGGCCTAAGCATGAATAAAAGTTCCTAGTTCCTGTCATGAAGTATTAAACCCTAAAAATGCCATTTGGCTATGATTTAAACTTTTAACATTGTCTTATATTGGAAATGAATAGTCAACAGACAGAATACATATGTGTTTGTACTTCTATTTCAAACATCTTGAAGCCAGAAATACAAGCATATTATAATAATCAGAAATATGTAAAATAGCAATTAGATGTGTCAAACAATCAGTTTATTTTCATTATCTTTTCAAATTTTCATTCTCAGTTCTGTGTCATTGATCTTTCTTAAAGGCATCGTCTCTATAAACCACACGAGGTACACTCTTGCCCATTCTTGTGCCATTCATTTGGCTTCACACCAGCAGAAAAGTTTATACTATGTCAGTGGCCCATGTAGCTGGTGATCAAAAAGCATATTTTTTTTCAATAATCTCATTTGAATGTGTGATACTACCACTGTGGCCAGTTTCTCTGACAGAGAATGAAAGAAAGAAAGAAAGAAAGAAAGAAAGAAAGAAAGAAAGAAAGAAAGAAATAATGAAGACACAAAGATAGATTGCATTAGAGAGGAAGAGAGAGGGAAACAAGGGCAAGAATCTACCAGTAGAAGACATACTAGCAATTAATCATAAATTCCTGCCTGTCTATGAGGGAGGCCAAAGTGCTCCTCTGTTTTGAAGCCTTTGTCCTCAATTACCTGGATCTGCTCTTAATGGCTGTTTATCATGAACTAGTACCAGTAAATGTCAAAATAAAAGTGCCTCTGTATTTATTGCTCACTCTCTCTAAGTGGTTTACTTAACCTCATTGACCTCTATTTAGAGTTTTACATAATAATAGTCTCTTCCAAATTATTCTAATGACGTTTTCTCTGTAGAGAAATTTGATAATCAAAGTGAAAACTGGTACAGTCTGTGCAGATTTCAGTGTTTCAAATACTACACATAGTGGCTTTAAAGGTGGAGGTACGTGTCAAACTGCAATCAATAAGAAACACCTGGTAGACTATTAGTGGATTGCATGTCTAATTTAGCTTTAGAATATTTGTCACTCTCAGCCACTGTCATGAATGGTATGAAATGTAAATTAAATTGTTTGTGTTTTTTTGCCATTATGAGGTAGCTGTGTGAATAGGCAGGGAAGCTACTTTGTCGCACTAAACTATCTTAAAAAACTATGATGTTTCATGTGTACATCTTTCCTTCATCTGGTGCCAGAAAATAACAATTTTCTCTGTTCACATACATGTTTGGAAAAGTGTTGTAGTAAATATTTTGTAGCAGTTAATGTGATTATCATATATTTTAAATGATAGTGAAGTATATGGTAATTATATGTCTGTGTGCAACCTGGTTTGGTTTTGTAGATTTTGTAAATCGGATTTCTGGACAAAAAATATATATTTTTTCAATATTGTGTGGTTATGTAAGGGTTACTACAGTGAAAACAAAGCCACAGGGTGTTTGGGTCTGGAGCTGGCTGAGCCATCCTTTTCTGCCTCTCTTTGCAAAAACATCTTCGGGCTATCACCCACGATTCCAACATAAACCTTGTAGCACTGCTTTGCTTTGTGACACGTTAAAGGGTGACAGTGCTGCTGTCAACATGTGTGTTTGAGTAAGACACAGACTGTTAAGTGTGTCAGTAGAGTAATAAGATAAGTTGCATACATGCATAATAATGCATACATCACATCTCAAGATATATGACTGAAATAACATACACACAGATATTCATGTAGCATTGTACACACTGGAACTAAAAGAGGAGGAGATCTTGAGGTATAAAGGTAGGGAAATGTGTGTGTGTGTGTGTGTGTGTGTGTGTGTGTGTGTGTGTGTGTGTGTGTGTGTGTGTGTGTGTTTATATAAAAGGGCTTTTAGTTGATTTCACAACATGACTGAAACACTGCCATTTCACACCTTTATTGCAAGAAGTGTGAATGAATGAACATGTCGACACAAGAATGACAACTCATTTTGCATTGGAATTGAAATGTTCTCTCCTTTGGATCTAAACCTTTCAGGTACATTCAGCTTCAGGACAAGGTCAAATTTCTGCTCTATCATTGTTAATTGGTAATTATTATCCTCTTTTCCTTGATCTTTGCTGTGTTTAAATATCATACAGCCCCCGAAGCAGTCACAACTCGTGGTGTGAGCCAGCCAGCATACAGTGATGCTAGTAATCACATGAGGGATGTTGTGGCTCTTCTTTGAAAGTCATGCTAGACTGCTGTAGAATAAACAGGGACTTTTGCTCTGGGCTGTAATTAAACTAGTCATCAATCGTTTCAAATATTTAAACACTAATGATCCTCTCAGGTTGATGGAGGTATAGAGAAAGGTATGCACATGTTTATTCCTTTGCACATTTTATTTTATTTAACTGGTGTTTACATGGATTAGAACTACTGTACTGTATTTTTCATAGGCAATATGTTGATGATGATTGAGGATTCCTCCTGACGTGATAGTGATAACATTCTTCAAGGTATGATTTAAGTGATACTGTGTCATTTTACAAAGTAAAGCTAGTACAAAGACAGCGTCATACATAAAATGCTGAACTGGCCAATCACCAAGGAAAGTCAGGCCCGGTTCTAAATAGGCCAGAAGATAATTAGAAACAATACAAAATCTGCTTTCTGAGTGTAGTTTGCGTGTTCTCTCCAGGTCTGTTTAGGTTGCATCCAGGTGCTGCAGTTTCCTACCACAGTCCAAACTGACTCTAAATTGCCAGTTGCTAAGAGCTAAAATGGTTATATGTGTCAGCTCTGACAGCATGGTAAACTGTCTATGGTGTACCCAGAGGCTAAATTGGGATTTCTTATGTGGGGGGTCTCTGTGGTTTCAGGGTTGCCGTGGGTGCACGTCAAAGCCTAATATCACAGCATATCTAATTAGATGATGCTCGCAGTCATCCTCAGCCACAACAGACAACTTATTCCACTTGACTTTAGGGCGGACTAGATGCTGCAGGATGCATTGCAGTCTTTGCAAAAAATTCACAAACATTTGGAATGCACCAAATTCACCAAAACTGACAATGCTCAATTAACATCTCGCCCTAAGAAATCATATATATTTTTATTCAACTATGCTTATCTTGAGTGGGAGGTATTTTGACATTGAACTACTTTCAACTTTAACATCCGAGACCACTCTTGTGTCATTGCCTAAAAGTCAGAGTATTAAAAGAATATGTGCTAATTCCTGCAGAAGGGCTTTCTGGAATTAGAAGCAGACATAGACAGGCCCAGACACCCACCATGGCAGAGAATTTGTTTGGAATTCATGTCTCCAAGGAAAATATGAAACAGGGTGCCTCAAATCATCAGATTTTTTGATAGCTTCTTTTACGCATAACAATACACTTCTCTCTGTATTCTATTTCTCTGTCAACCATCTGCTCTGTTTTTTTTTTTATTTCCTCTTACTTTTTCTGTTTGTCTGCACTATATTTTGCTCCAAGTCACCAATATATTTTCCTTTCCACCGGGAAGAAAATAAACCAAAATAACTATGTTAATGATAATTAGGTCAAATAATGCTTTTTTGCTGGAATTAAATATATCAACAGGACATTTGACTCATGCAGATTTCCTGTACTAAATTCAGTGTTTCACCAGTGCATCCGAGGACATCTGGACAGGCTTTCAGCTTGTTTGGATACAGCTCGTGTTGCTATCACCATATTGTACTAATAATGACTTGTGTGCTGATGTTTCACACACGCGTCTCTAAATAGATCCAGGGATGTTTTTGAGATGACACATCTTGATTTCAGTATGCCACTACTCCTGAAAATCTGAACAGCAAGGTGTGGTCTTAACCGAGCTGCAAGGAGGGTATAAAGCACACACAGCTGCACAAGTGCTCCATGTCTACCACAATGCACATGTAAAGATAAATACATTTAAGTGATTTATTTAATCTGTCAGAAACCACAGCAAGTCCCAAACAAACACAAACCACGAGAAAAAGAATCCACAGGACCTGTAATAATAAGACACACAAAACAAAATGTCATAAGTGACATAAAACAATACTTTTCATACACATGCATCGACACACAAACTTGCCTGCACTGGAGACATCTCTGGGTGTTGGGGTGTACAGCTGGTATTGATATCACCGAGTGCTGGGGTGTGCAGGTCTCGTTGCACGCCACCAATTGTGTGTGTGTGTGTGTTACTATTCCTAATGAATCCCATTCACTGAATCATGCGATATGGAGTTGGCAGTATTGACGGTGGTGACTGCACGCTCGCCGCCTTCCAGCTCTTAAGAATAAAAGTCCTTGGCCTAGTCTCCACGCACACATACAATGGCTTGCTAAGTGGCTATTCTTTTTCTTTATTCAGTCCCTAGTTTCTCATCTATCTAGGCAGAGGAAATCCTCACTGTCTCCACAATTCCCACTGTTTGCTTGTTTCTAGGCAAAACTTAGACTCTCTCATTGTCAACAAAACCGGTGACAAGACCAAAATTCACTAAGGCATTGTGTTTCTCAGTACTGTAGCACTCAGCCCCAAGCCCATTTAGTCCTACTGATGACATAAATCACAAGTATATGTCTGTAAGGTTTTGATGGTGGAAAACTCTTACAACTAGGATGAAAACTAGCAGAATAGTGTATTGCAGAAATAAACAGCATCAGTCAGGCAGGATTTCTTGTTCAGAGCTCGGATTTTTTACTCGTGTCCAAAAACAAATTACACAAAATTCGCAATCCTCACCACAGAGATAGCAGATTTACAGGTACAGCAGACTCCCACTTAACCTCTATACCTGTGACCTCTACCAACCCCAGGGCTACAGTCAAGGCACCTTAACCCCTCCCTAATAACATGAACAAAAACATACATGAGCATTAACAAATACAGATGAAACAAGCTGCATAACAAACTGAAGAAATATTAACCAAAAGCCAAACTTAACAAAAAAAAACCCTCTACCCACCCCACCCTGACTGCAGCCTAATGAGTTGATTGACATCCAGCTTGACACCAGCTGAGTCCTGTGGCTGCATTCTCATGTGTGCACACCATGAAAACAGGCCCCTTGGGAAGAGTGGAGAGTGGTTAGTAAGATTTCAAAATAAAAGCACAACATAACAAAAACTAAACTTCCTTTGCTTTTGTCTAACTTAACAGTCAATGTGCATTGGTGTGTTTCACTTTCACCAGAAGGGGGGGGTGTCCCTAACAATATCCATTTTTAAAGAAAGGCTCAGTAATTTACTAAAACAACTAGCCAATGTAGTTTTCATCAAACATTACCTAAAGAGAAGTACATAGTGCATTTGTTAGGGACTATTTTCACCAGCAGATTAATGCACATTCAGATTATTCTTAGCAGCAGTAAATGGAAGGTTGACTCAAAATGATCCTCAGTACCCATGTTCATCATAATAAAGGAACATGTCACCCAGGGCAAAGGAGGGGTTCATGTATGTGTTTTTAATTGTTTTTGGATGAAATTGGATCTCCATGGCACAAAGGAATAAGATATATCTGGCTTTGGAAACGCAGACAACACTCGTTAGTAGCTTCAGTTTATTGGTTAGTTGGTTTTGGTCTTCTCATGGGATTTGCTTACAATAATAAAAATATAGTATATCCTGTTTTCAGGTTGTCTGTCCATCTGTCCGTCCCATTGTGAGTGTGATATCTCAGGAATGCCTTGAGGAAATTTCTTCAAACTTGAATTTTGGTCAAGGTCACTATGACCTCCCAAAGCATGTTTTTGGTCATAATTTGAATTGATGTGGTAGTTATGACAAATTCCAGACAATTAAGTGATATTCAAAAGGTCAAAGGTCAGTTTCACTCATAATGTCCAGGAAAAACACCTTTTGGTCATTATTCTACGGCATAACTCAGGAACAGGAGGGGAGATTGCGACTATATTCCACAGTTGGTTGGACATTTAATTGGTGACACTTTTGACACAAAGGTCAAAGGTCATTGTGACCTCAAAATAGATTATTTTGCCATAATTTAATAATTTTACACATGTTGAGTAGCAGGGGCTTTTATCTTTACCTCATCCATACTACGTTTTACTTACTGCCTCATTCTAAATTATGATTGTTTCGACCGCAAGCAACGTATTGGAGCACACCTAGCTAATCGTGATCCTGTGAGTGACTTTCACTTACAGCTCAAAGAGGCTACAGGGGTTTCATATCTAAAATGCTAGCAGAAAAGAACCATATTTTCTATATTCTACAAGAATCCATCTTTACATCGTAATCAAGTATCTGATTACCATACATCTATCATTATCCTTCTTTAATCAGTTCAAATGTATATTGTTGTACATGTCCCATCAATATAGGGATAACTTCTTTTTAGCCAAAACAATACACTTTATATCTTTTATATAATTCCTTCAAAGTCTGGACAGACATGGGTGTAAACTGCAACTTGACTGGTTGGCAGAGGCATACGACGCAGGACGGTAATTCTAGTTATTACTGTTTTGCTCCTGAGCAATGTTTAATTTAATCCCAGTAACTAAACAGGTGTTTAAATGGATTTGAAAGATTTGAATGGTTTTAGATGGTAGATCTTTCCTGGATCAACTATAATAAAGATTTCCCGTCAAAGAAAATTATCAGGTCTTCACAACCAATGTTTTAACCATGACAAAAGCAAAATAGACTAATTTACACTAAAACTAAACATTAAAAGTGTACACAAATAAAAAGGAGGAAAAAGAAGAAATACAATATTTACAAAGAAATGTTCTCTTATATCAGAGCAGGAGCTTGAGATTCTTTCATACTTGCTCTTTAGTTGTTGAGTGAATGACAGATCTGCAGTAACTGAGGATGAAGACGTGTTGAGCTAAGGGCGAGAATGATGCTGAAGCCACTGCTGAGGACAGATGATCAATTTGCAGTTGTGGTTGGACATGCCTTTAGCCACGAGTGTTAAGCTCTGCACCAGAAATAAACCAGCAGCTGTGGTGTGTTTGAATGTATGAGCATGTGTATGAGTGTGTGTGTGTGTGTCAGAGGGAGAAATAGCCATCCTCTCAGCACCATAAATCCAATGACGCTAGAGATCATAATAATGGACCAGGACTGACAGAAAGGAGCTTTTATCCTGTTCCATGTAGCTGCAAAATTGACTGCCTTGATTGGGGGAAAGATGCCTGGATGAATGAATGGAAACCAGTTTCTTTCACATGTAGTCCTCTTTCTTTTTCCCAGTTGTTGTCTTGTGTTTGATTGTGGAGGACATGGGGATGAACAAATACAAAGAGCTCTGTGAAAGAGCATGTCAATAAAAAGATCAACGGATATCTGAATGTGGTATGGTGTAATGTGTAGGCCTACTGTAGGTTATGTATGGGCATGTTGTGGTATCACTGTGTCATAATGAAAATGTTTGAAAGTTAAGGTGTCTATCTGTGTGTCTGTCTGTGTGCATCAGCATATTTGGATTTCTCATTTTCCAACATATTCTTCGACTTTGTTTTCACCCTTTTGTTTAAATTTTGCTTCCAACAGTAAGGAATATAGTTCAACATTTTTGGAATATGCTTATGTAGTTAAGTTATCATAAAAAGCAGAAACAGTTGGCTTGGCTCTGTCCTGGCTTTAGAAGTGCTAGCAGGCCGATTTCCCTCAAATCTTTATGACAAGCTAAGATAACTAGCTGATAGCTGTAGCTTCATATTCAGCATAAAAACAGTGGTATCAGTCTTATCAAACTCTTGACAAAAAAGAAAACATGCATATTTCTCAAAATGTTGAACTATATGCTGGGTTTGAATTATGAATGATTCCTTTTAGCTGTGGTGAAATCATAACAGATTTATATAGCCTTTGTCATCAGATGTCAGTATATCACTTAAATTGTTCTCTGCTTGTGCATTTGGTGACTTGTCTGCAGACCAAACAATAAACTAAAACCCTCCTTTTGCTTATCCCTTGTACTGCAGATATCCGGGAGACTGCATTCGTTTATGCCATCACGGCGGCTGGTGTGACCCACGCTGTGACCCAGGCCTGCAGCATGGGAGACCTCCTGCAGTGTGGCTGTGAGGCGACCAGGAACCGAGCACCACCTAGGCCGCCTTCATCCTCCTCCTCCTCCTCCTCCTCCTCCTCCTCCTCCTCTTCTGGGGACGGAGTGAAATGGGAATGGGGGGGATGCGGAGATGATGTGGAGTTTGGTTATGAAAAGTCAAAACAGTTTATGGATGCCAAGAGGAGAAGGGGCAAGAGCGACATCAGGACGCTTGTTGACCTGCACAACAACGAGGCTGGGCGGCTGGTAAGAAACTGTTTCAGAATTAATACCTCAGTATGTTTCTGTTCAAATTTTCAATACAATGCACTTCGTGAAGCGAATGTATTTCAACTGTTACTGTACTGCACCAAACACAGATCTGATGTTTCACTATACTCTCTTAGGTTTTAGCAGCAAAGGTGTTGCTTGTCCTGTGGAATGTTCCATCATTCCACGAACATGCAAAAGAGAAAGACATCGCCCCCAGCCATATTTGTGTAGCAGCGTAAGCTGATATTCTAACAAGAATCAGGTTTCTGAAACACAAAAACAAGAGCGTGCCACACATTTTGTTTTCAAGCCTCCGAGGCAGGTAGCTTCTAACATTTCTACAGCCCTTGTAGAAGTTTAAAGTTCCTCTTTGTTCCTCGTATGACGTATGGCCTCGACAAGTCAACAGGCTACCGAAAGAGCGGCGATAAAGTAGCAACTTTTGATATGAGTTAATTATGTGAATTTGTAATATAGCTCTGTAATCTTCCTGATTACATTTACGTTTAGCTGTTTTGTCGCACTCAGCTTGTTAGAGAATCAGAAATGTTGACACATGCACAAGCAAAACACAGAGTTACAAAGTTCACTTTAGTTGGGGTCAAAGGCAGGTAGAGAGAAGAGGAGGATTTTGGGATATAGTCCAATTGTAGCATTAGCGTACAAACCATTTGAACAAAAGACGAGACTTGCACACAAATGCCCAGAGGTTGAGAAATAAGCGTGCTCTCATGCGTGCAAATATCTGTTTGTGTGCATGCATGCGTGTGTACTAGTATACACATTTTGCAAGTATGTGTATGTCTCAACGGGCGAGTGGGTGTGTGTGTGCATGTGTGTGATGGGTTAATTATGTGCAGTATAAGTGAATGATCTGTTGTCAAGGCTTGTTAGATGTAGGAAGGCCAGAGGCAACATGGAGGGAGAGTGGGGTTGGGGAGTTAAATTCCTTCTGAATAGCGTCTGCTTTTATCTTACCTATCTATCAGTGTGTGTAGTCTATTTGTGTGTGTGTGTGTGTGTGTGCGTGCGTGTGATCCAGTGGCTTTGTCTGTGATATATCATGAAAACACAATAATAAATTACTTCTTTAGAGAACTTGTCATTTGTCAAAAGCAGTGCTGCGTCAATTCAGGGTACAAGTTTAAAAGTTTCCTTTGTCCCTTTCGTTGTGTTTGATCAACCTTTCTCTGCTTTTATCACCCATTTGCCTCTTCTTCACCTCTCTTTTTTCCTCGACTACCCAAAACCCTGAACTCACCCACCCCTCCATGCTTTCCCCTCCCAGGCGGTGAAGCTCTACATGCGGACAGAATGCAAGTGCCACGGACTGTCGGGCTCGTGCACCTTGCGCACGTGCTGGAAAAAGATGCCTCATTTCCGTGAGGTAGGCGACCGCCTGCTGGAGCGCTTCAATGGCGCTTCCAAGGTGATGGGCGGCAATGATGGCAAGACCCTGATCCCTGTTGGCCAGAACATAAAGCCACCAGATAAGCAGGATCTGATCTACTCTGATGAGTCGCCCGATTTCTGCCTTGCAAATCGGAAAACTGGTTCACTTGGGACACGGGGGCGCATATGCAACAGCACAGCCATGGACATCAGCGGCTGCGACCTGCTGTGCTGCGAGCGGGGCTACCGTGAGGAAACAATGGTGTTTGAGGAGAACTGTCTGTGTCGTTTCCACTGGTGTTGTGTGGTCCAGTGCAAGAAATGCTTGGTCCGAAAAGAGCTTAGTCTCTGTCACTGATGTACTGATGAACTGAAGTAGAGAGGTGTCAACATGACTTGGTTCATATGACTCGATTATAATTACTTCTGTTACTTTTTGAGGTTTTTTCTTTAGTTTGGCTAGTGTGAGAGAAGGATAGCATTTGGACTGTCATGATGATCCTTTTTTATTTTTGCACCAGTCACAGTCAGCCCCCAAAATCTTTATTTCAAATGGTATTTGATCCCAGCTCCCGCTGTTTGGTTCCCAGGAATTTTGACAGAAAAAGAAATGAGGGCCACAGGTTCAAAAAGTACAGGAAGTGAATGCAACCATATGGCAAGTGGGACTAAAAGAAGTAAAATAGAAAGCAAAATAGAGAAATGTTTCTTTCTGAACTACCTATTTTTCTTTTTCTTGAATATGAAAAAGGACCAAAGAATGTGAAAATTTTCCATCTCAATGAAAGAGGAGGACCTATACACGGAGGACCTACATGTGGCACAGTTTATAAGTGTCACTTCCACAATCAGTTCAACAGCAGCTTAAAGTTGAGTGTTATCTAAAACCTAGGATTTTCAGGCTTCAGCTTGTGCTGATGCACTTGATTTGGTTGTGGAACTTCCTTAATTGACCGTTTGCTGAGCCCTGTCGCTCTTGATCACTCCCTGTTGCTACGCCAGTCAAAATTATGATTCTCACATGAAACATATGCAGTTTACAATAACATGGAAGATTTAACTAGCTAATTATGCAAATGAGTTAGTTGGTCTCTGACTGACTTGTCTTAACAGCAACAGCTAGCTGCAGAAATGTTCTTTTAATATTTTACTCTTGCTGTAAAAAAAGTGATTCAGACTCTTCATATACAGAGTATCACACCTACTACAACCCTATGCATACCAATACAGCGTGTGGACAAACCAAAAGGTTGACAGAGCTAAAAAAAAGAAAGGATTGCTGTTTGTGAGAGGGGTTTAGTGAACGGTCAATTGTATAAACTGGCTGCTAATCTTCAAGGGCCCCACTGACTATTAGATACTAGGCCTATATGTTATTTCAAATTCTTCAGAGACAGTGGTTTATATCTACAGTATGCTGTAGCACCATAGAAAGATTAAATATCTCACTATGGCCCCAATTCCAGAGTACTTTAATTTTACTTTGACATATGTGTTTAAAGAATGACAGTGCAGCAATATTCTTGATAATGCATTAACACAAATCAGAAAATCTCCCAAAATCTGTAAAAGTGTTGATATAATCTGCCTCTCAGTTACAGTAACTGTAGCCTAGCTGTTTAACAGGCACACCAAATTCAAATAGATTTTTTTTTCTGCTATCGCATCAAAAATACAGAAAAAGGGAAATGGTATCACATTATCATATCTGAAGAATACTGTCAACACCATGTTTTGCTGGAGTGGACTTGGCCTGCCAGCAAAGACTGTTATTTATATAAAGATAAGATGACAAGACTACTCACTTCCATCTCTCTCAGAAGCACTTTGGATACAATGGCTGACATGGAATTCCTCAACAGCTTGGCAAGAAAACCTTTTGGGGTTGTCTGTTTCTATCAAACCAAAAGAGAACCTTACAAGACATTGTTTGATATCAAGAAAATGTATATAATGTATTTTGTTTATCTGTTCTGATATACAGGGCTAATGTAATAATGCACTTTGGATGTTAGCTTTCATTTGATACTGTATGTGCATGTGTGTGTGTGTGTGTGTGTGTGTGTGCGAGTGCATGAGAGAAAGTGTTGTGTATATGTTTGTGCAGGTTGGCCAGTTATCACCGTATCCTTCAGTTGGTAGTACCTTTTATATATCTTTAAGTTGCTGTCTGACGTTATGTTGGTTATTAAAAGCACACTGCTCCTTGACTCTCTGTCTCTGTGTGAGGCAGACAAGATCTTTTATTTGTTGTTCGCCTTCAGAGGAAGTATGTTTCCCATAAACCATAAATCACGTCCTCTCATTTACACTTAAGTTTTATTACCAGACAATGTACAGTATGTATACTGAACTGTAATTCTACATTGTTTCCACTTGTTCTGTTAGGGCTGTTTGTGAGTGTTCAGATAGGATCTTATCTTACCTTTAAAGATTCAGAATCATTTCATTTTGATCATACAGTTGGAGGTGTTTCAGGAAGATATCATGATTCAGATCTGGCTGTTCCCAAAGTCACATAGTTACTTTCAGTGTCTACTGTATGAAAGTAAAATGAAATGACCACCTTGATTATTAACATGTTTTAGGATGGCTGTAATGTGGGCAATGTCTCCTAAGCCCTTTAAAATGTAAAAGTAAAGTGAGTCATTCAGTAGAATATGGTATACAAGTAAAGAAGAATTTTGAGTAACATGTTGGCAGTTATCTTTACATTTAAGAGACTATAGAAACTTTGTTTTTGAAATATTCATATAAAGCATTTTGGAAAGAAATCATTCAATTCAGTTCAATTCAATTCAATGTTATTTCATAACATAAGTTATCTCAGGTCTAGACCGTACCGTAACCAACAGCTCCAACCATGAGCAAGCGCTTGGCAACAGCGGCAAGGAAAAACTTCTTTCTCATTCACCTATTTAAAGACAAAAGCCTAAATCCTTTTGTATGGACAAGGCCACAAAGTTTCATATTTTGCAGTTTGCATCATTTCAGTGGCACAGTGGCCCAGTACAACATATTGCATTATTAGCCTGATCACTATTGCAGCAATCAAGCAACTTAGAGTAATTTTAACAGATATTAGAATAAGATCAACAAACACAGTGTTTATGAAAGGGCTATATCTTATCACAACAATAAATCTATGTACATGGTAATCATTATGACATGCATTTAGGTTAGTTGTAACTTTGTGTTAAAATAAGGCCTCATGATGGTGGCATTTATAGAAATAATAGAACTGCAGAAGTCACATGAAGTTTGCATAATTATTTTTCAGGGCTGACATTACATTTTATAATACAATAACTTCTGTAACTCTACAACACAAGAGTGACTCAAGACAGTCACATTAACAGTGCTTTCTGATTTTGTGTACTTCTTTTTCTGATGTGTTGAGTCAGGCAAAACTGAGACCATTTTAATATCTGCATATGTTAGATTAAGCACATTCCAAGGCTAGTACTTCATATTTTGGTGGTAAATAGAATGTAGCAGTAAAAGAGAAATGTTTTTTATTAAAATGGAAATAATGCAATACTGACTGTTAAAACATTTTAATGACAGCTGCATAATGCAGCTCGTCCTTGGCCAACTATTGTGTTTGTGTCAAACAACTTACCTGTCAATAGGGATATTCATTCATTGATTTGTCATCTATTTAAATACATTTTGTCATGTTTGCTTCACATTTTGTTATGCTGTTCCTTTTTGTATTCTTCAGAAATCATTTCATATCTGGATGTTACCTTGCATTTTCCTTTAGCATAAAACTACCGTTTGTGACTCACATTCAAGACACTATTCAAATAAAGAGCAAAACATTCATGTTGTTATTTAATGTCATTCTTTTCATGTGCTGTATGAAATGTACGGTGATGAGACTCCTTTTGATAAATGAATAATGATACATTTTGCATTACATTTTGACAAATCCTTTATTTGAGCCATATTGAAATATACAGGTGCATGCAGCATGAAATTCACTGATTGTTAGTATCAAAGAAAAGACAGAAAAATCTGTCTTTGTTGTATATATATATTTTTTTTTCTCAGTAGGTTTCTTTCTTCTTACGGTAAGTGTAGGCGTTAGTCTGAACTTTAAACGTGGCTTTGAGTCCAATCCTGACAGAAATATTCCACATCAAACCTTTAATACTAAATACTATGTCCTGCAAGGAGAAGCTGCAAAGCAGATTTCAACCTGCCAAAATTAATACAAACATTAAACATTTACAGACTAATTTAATAACATATTATATCACTTTTTCCTACGGAGTTCTTCCAGACATTATGTGAGTGTTACATGCATCTTACTTTTTTTTTTTATACAGGTGCTGGGTCAACTTTGGTTTTCGCTTCAGTGATGATTTTCACAAAACTAGATCCTTTCCGCACCTCTGCCTCGATTAGATTACTTTTGCCCATCAGCAAAAGTAGGTGTTGTTTTGAGGTATTTATGCTGTAGAAATGAAAAGACGAGGGGAAAAAAGAAAAGCGAGCCTGTATTAGTTTGAGCTGTACAAGTTGACACAAGTTCGTATTTTCCAGGAATTTGTTGCACGGTGGTGTGCAGCAGAGTCGGGCCAGCAGTTTTGTTTAAGACATAGAGAGGTAGGCCAAAAAGGAGGAAAATGCCATAGGGCACTTGTCTCCTCCATATCTTCCCTACTGTAGTTCCTTTGCTCTCTCCTCTTCTCTCCTTTCCTCTCCTCTCCTCTCCCTTTTCTCCCTCTTTAAGTCATGCAAGCATTCAGTGCTGCATGGGCAAAGCTAGAGAAAATAGACAAGTGAGCAGATAGATTTATTGGAGCATTGGTATAAATATAGCTGCCTGTCGACATCTGTGTGCATGTGGCTGCATGTGTCTGTCTTTGTCAGTCAGTCTCTGTGTGTGTGTGTGTGTGTGTGTGTGTGTGTGTGTGTGTGTGTGTGTGTGTGTGCATGTATTCATATGTGTGTGTTCATGGGAGTGCGCGGCCAGGTTAGAATGGGTGTATTTTTCCATGTGTCCCTTTGAGAGAGAAATGGTGCCGGAGGAATGCAACATCGTCCCCACTAGAGATGAGTTTTGTCTCCACCTACAATGACTGTTAAGTGCCACACACACACACACACACACACACACACACACACACACACACACACACACACACACACAGAAACGCTGCCTCACACAAAGCATTAATGAAGGGTTGCCACTGTAAATGGATCTATAGTGCTGCGCTGCACACAGTCATTTCCGTAGATCAGTCAGATAAATAGAGTTCTGCCATTTCTTATCTTCTACAGTGTGAGTGTTGGTGGTCTGCTGCTTTTATTTACCATGCATTTCCGGCACATGTATACATGTGTTCACTTGCAGAGAAACAAGGAGACAGCCCGAACATGGATCAGAGGGACGAGATTATATAAAAATGAGAACTGAGTGGGCCAGTACAGAGAAATGAGCGACAAGGGAGGGAAAATTATTAATGAATAGAGGAAAAAGGAAAGGACTAAGAGAAAGATAACGAGAGAGAGAGAGAGACAGAGAGAGAGACAGAGAGAACTTAGAGGAAACCTGACACTATAATGTTCTTCCATTTGTGTGAACTCTCCTCCAATCCTCTATCAATCTAGCAGTGAGATGTTGCTTACACAAAGGGCACATCTAGAGATCAACTCTGTGTGGGGTTTCATCTGATACCAATGACTGTAATTATAGGAGTGGGAGAGACAGACACACACAGAGAAACATGTTTAATACAAACCGTGAAATGAAGCAATCTTACTTCTTTTACAGATGAAATATGCACTAAAAGTATAATTTATCACGCTTTCAAGATTGAGACACGCACATTCTCAAATTTGCACACATCCGCATGAACACACACCCCACCTCCACTTTGACTCAGTGTGTTTGGAAGAGACAGTGATCTTTATGAGTTAATGCAGGCCCTGGAGGTGATGGCTCAGCTGCTGCCTAAGTTCCACAGCCCACCCAACTAGGCTCCTAGTGGTAAGAGATTTAATAGTCAATATTTTTGCATTTTAGGCACAGCTTGCCTCAGGACACTTTAATGACATTTACTGCACAATAGTATTAGACTTGACTTACTCGCAGGGTTGTTCCTGAGGTGAGGCGAGAGTGATAAATTGCTGTGCAGATAAACCACAGCTATTGTACTTTCATTTTAAAATGTATTTTGGCAAAATGACCTTCCTCCTTGAGAAATAGACTGTACGAGTGCTTTTCTCAAGGAACCTGTCATCATTGCAACATCCTGAAACAACACTTGCTGCCTTGAGAAATACTCATTGACCCACATCATTGTTGTGGGTGGATAAACATTGGGATGACCTCGCAATGTATCTTTTACTCATCCCCCCCCCCTCCTAAATCTCCCTGCATCTGTCCCACATCCCTCTCTCTCTCTTCCTCTGTCACATCTTACTCACGATTGTGTCATTTATCAAACTCCGTAACTGTCTCTTGCAGCCCCCTCCTCTTCCTCTCCCTGTTATCTTGGGTTGTGAAAACATGGCCACCAGAGGTTGGTGGGAGACAGAGGGGGCCTGCTGTCTATTATGGCTGCTTTGGCTCAGTGTCTGTTCCAATATGAAGACAGAGCAGGACTCTTTCTCTTTAGGACAGAGACAATAAACATAGTTGTTTGTACAACAACAGTCATGGAAAGCCTTGATGTGAAACAGACAACCAGCTAACTAAAGTGCGTGCACATGTTCGTGGGCAACTTGTGATTAGTGTGCAATGCATCTTTTCCATTTGAACATATAATAGGAAACTCAAATCATTGGCAAAACCCAAGTAAATTCATTTGTTTAAACACTTCCTTTGGTCATTACTCATTCCACTGTGCCGCTCCTAGTGACTGGAACAAGAGGCTAAAGATGCTAAAACTACTTCATTCTGTTACCCTCCATTACTAACTCATTACAAGCAATACTGCACCTGCTTGCGAATTTACTTCTCTGGAACCCAGTACATCGATATACATACTGTATATATTGTGATGTTTTAACTCTAATATTGTTTTCTTGCACAACCTGTATCTGTGTTTTATTTGCCTGTATCGACTTGCCTCCTGCCACTGCCTCTTGGTCAGGTCATCACTATAAATGATCTGATTAAATAAATAAATTGGCAGGCATCCATGGATAAGACTCAACCTCAGCAACATGTGAGCTGCTACAGTGTAGAGTCCCTTTACTGTAAGATACTGTATATACTACCCTGTTTAGATTATGACAATAAAACAGGGCTCAGCACTAATTATTTTACAACCTCTGTTTTGCAGGATAATATATTGTATACATAGTGTGTATAATAGCAGAGATGCATTATTAACTTCAGTTTTTGAACACAAGATGGCGTCATTGCAGCAGAAAGTTGATTTACTGTAACACTACACCTCCATCCTGCCAAGAATGACAGACTGCACTGAGAGGAGTGATGGTAATGATAATAATGTTAAAAAAAATCCAATCAACTAGAGTAAGATCATTTCAATGAAGTGAAATACAATAAAGTACTCAAAGAAAATTTAGCATGAATAACTGGGACTTTGAGAGCACTTTAAGTACGGCTGTCCTTCATTTCGTTTGGTTTCAATCAGCTCAACTTTCCAGCCAATGTATCAATTTATGCTTAGATTGTGTGTGTGTTTGTGTGTGTGTGTGTGTGTGTGTGTGTGTTTGTGTGTGTGTGTGTGTGTGAGAGATAGAGAGAGAGAGAGAGAAAGAGTGTGTGTGTGTGTTTGTTTGTATGCAAACATTGTATATGTTTATCAATGTGGCAGAAAGAGGGAGATTTATTTGTATTGACATTTTTAGCTCAGTAACCCATATAATTATCTAACTGTTCTTCATCTGAAGCAACAATAAGGGTTTGTAAACACACTCTTGAATCGGCTGCGCCCAGTGGCGGGCCTTCCTACAGGCGACATAGGTGCTTGCCTAGGGCGCCACCTAGTGAGGGGCGCCAAATATGTGGCGAGAAAAAAAATATTTATTATTTATTAATTATTATTTATTTGTTCAACAGTTTTTGCCATCCCTCTATCTACAACAATACTTTGACATAAAAAATAAATTAAACTTAAGTAAAAGAAATGACATTTCTGACGTGACCTTTAGCTGTTACACGTCACGGTCACAACATCCTAGCGTGCACACTGACGCGCAGTTGGTCGGTCGGCTGTGTCGACGAGTTACTATGGTTACAGCTACAGTCCAGCTACAGCTAAAGCCATCCGGGGCGCACTTTCGAAAGCGCAGAAAAGAAGAGCAGGAGAAACATGCAAAAGAGAAAGGTACGTAATTTTGATTATATATTTATTAAATTCACCGAGCATTCATGATATAATCATGCTAGCTGGCAGTAGCATCATGTCATCTTACTACCCGCTTCATTCGGCTAGGTTTGGTCGTTATTAACATGCAATCGGCTGCAATATTGTCATAATAAGACTGACATTTTTACCTCTTTGTTTGGTTGGTGGTCAGATTTCCTACGAGGAGGTTATTGATGACTTTGCGGCAATTTGAACCTTATTTGTTTATTTTGTATATTATATTTTGATAAATAGGTTGTATGAATCACATTTTACAGTATCTAATTTGGCACACAATGTTTTATTGTTAGTTTAATTTTTGTTGCACTACTGTTAAAAATATGTTTAAAAGTTTAATTTTTGTATATTTATTATTGAACAGGTTTATTCTTTTGCACATATTGTTATATTGTTTGTATTATCATTGTTTAAATAAATGTGTAATTCTTTGGACGTGAGTTCTTTTCTCGTGGGGATGGGGCGCTATCAG